TAATGTCAGCTCATCAAAGGTCAAGAGCGAAGTGAAGTCCCAATGTCCGGGTCCTCTCCGCATCTCCTCCGATCAAGATAGCCAACTTCCTGCTAGACAAGCTTGGGTGGGTAAACTGATCAGACTAAAGTATTTCTTAGTTCGTGGGTATAGATGTCGCTCTAAGGGATTCCGATAGGGGGCCCTTACTGTATCACAGAATTGAAAATTATTTCCATAGAGCTTGAACTCCAATCTGGAAAGTGTGAGGTTAGGATTCCAAAGAAAATTCATTATAAGCCTTAATGGGTTTACGAGTTCAATCTTAAAATGTAAAAAAACAGCTCAGCCAGAAAATTAACAAATTATTTGGACAGGTTCAATTCAGTGATCACTTCAACATATCGTAGTCATTTATTGATACTGGGACGAGTCGCATGGAATATCTCACATACAGGTAAGGAGCGGGAAGTCTTGCCGTCGAGAGCAACCCCCCTCCCCCCTCTGCCGAACATTTCTGCTGGGGTATCAGTCCGGGAACTTCGCTTGATCGTACGTGTCACCTGTTATTCTTGTACAGTATTCTGAATACATGTGAAGTACTGTGCAGAGTATATGGATTGCGAACCGGACAACATGCAAGCTCCGGTAAAATTATTCGGTTGCACGCGTCATGACAGACTTATTATTCTCCGAGCGAATAAGTGCCTTCGGTATCGGACATTCTCTTGTGTATTGAACGGATTTCACTGCCGTGTTATTCCTGAAAAAATAGGAAATTCCAGCTGTGATGTTCCCAATAAGTGCATTGCTAGCGCCGCTGAAATCATGTGCCCTTTTGGTGCCAACCCGTGGCTCCAAGATGGGTAGATTACACTGGCCTGGTTGGAAAGCCCTCAGAGACGTTAACCGTCGCAAAACGGTGAAAGAGTTCTCTTTCGACTCACGGAATCTTCTAGCTATGCGGAAAAATGATGTTTTACCGCCTGGTTTTCAGGTTAGCGCTTTACATCAACATTTTCGAGTAAATCTGTTGTTGAATGTTGATCCTTCGTTCAGGAAATGGTGGTTCAAGAACACAAGGAGCGTATTCCTCTCAACGCATCGATAACCCGTGTGAGCAACCGTTGTGTGATTACTTCGAAGTGTAAGGGAAGAAGCACACAAAAGCGTTGGCGTGTGAGCCGCATCATGTTTCGACATTTCGCTGATTACAACCTCATGAGTGGGGCACTTCGGGCGCAGTGGAATTAACTGCTTTCATGTTCAGTCGTAGTTGTCCATGATTCGTTNTCAGGAAAAAAAATTGACTTTGGGAGGTTTTGAATTAAGGAAAAAATAATTCTTGCTGTGAGGATTAGTAAAAAAAATTGCAGAAAATTGTAAATGAGGAGATTCTGGGCCTAAACTTGCCTCTTGATGAGGTTTTACTGTGCTGAACTTGGAGGCAAGGGTTCATTTGCTATATTTGTCTTTCAATTCCTTCCAAGATCAAATTATTTGTTTTAATCATTTTCTCTCTCATATTTCACAGAAATAATAACCAGAAGTCCTCAGAAAATTCTACTTACAGAGGTTTTAGGAAAAAAGAATTTGAGTTAGGGAGGTTTTTCATGTATTGATTTCAAGGGAATTTGGACAAGGACTTGAAAAAAATTTGACTTATTGAGGATTTTGAATTATAGAGGTTTGACTTATTGAGGTTCACCTGTATACGGTATCCAAGAAGTTACATGGTGCCAGGGAAATATTTGTGAAGTTGATTCTGTGTGAATGAAGCCAGCTCATACTGATTTAAGAAGTATAGTACTAATGACAAAGATGCCTCCCACTTCATACAACCAATGCTTTTCAATGTGGGTGGTCTGCAGAAATTCTTAACATACTGAATGCTATAGGAGCCAGATCCTATGGGTAAGGGGAATGACAAAGAAATCATATGCGCATTTTCCACCAGAAATAAATTTGTTGACCATGCTACTGATTAGCTTGCCAATAAATGATGTGGCTATTGCTCCTGACAAGCAGGACATTTGTAGATCTTGGAAGTGCAGTAAACCCTTGATTTTAAAGCCAACCTTTCATCATAGTGCTAGAAATTTCCCTTGAAAGAATCTTCCACAATTGGGATGTTCTCATTGGAACCCATAATTTTGTACCAACTCACTGCCCAGTGCCACAAAAATTTCCTTGTGCTGGATGGGAAATAGACCAAGATCAAGGACATTAATATGGCTCTTCCTTGTGATTTGATTGTTATTACTGAGGATCACATGCCCATGCTCACATAAAACTCAGGATAAATGGGAACCTTTTGTTTTTTGAATTTCTGGACCAAAAATTTTGCTTTTGCTTATATGATGCATGCCTTCCTTCATTGAGGATTTTTTAAAGGAAGTGGGGGCTTTCCTGGAATCATTGATGATTTGTACAGTACTGTATTTTAATTTGGCTTTACCCATTGAGCTAAGGAGTGGACTATATGTTCTTATTTTTGTCCCGAAGTTGCTGAAAAAGTTTCACTGAATGTGTGGAACAAGTTTCTGCAAATCCTTTTCGAATGTAATATTACTGTAAATGCTTCATCAACGGAATACAGTACAGTAAGATAGTACTGTATATGATACAGTATTTTCTCGAAAAATATTTCGGAATCCTTGCTGAAATTTCATTCGCTTGCTTTTGTCTGGGAAAAATGAACGGACGAGAAACAAACGTATGAATAGGTTACGAGATAAAATGATAAAAGCCATGTGGAGGAGTACAGTGTTGCTCTTAAGTATCACAGAATTGAAAATTATTTCCATAGAGCTTGAACTCCAATCTGGAAAGTGTGAGGTTAGGATTTCCAAGAAAATTCATTATAAGCCTTAATGGGTTTACGAGTTCAATCTTAAAATGTAAAAAAAAAACAGCTCAGCCAGAAAATTAACAAATTATTTTGACAGGTTCAATTCAGTGATCACTTCAACGTACCGTAGTCATTTATTGATACTGGGACGAGTCGCATGGAATATCTCACACCGTGAGTGGACTTCTCGCCGGAGCTCACACACAGGTAAGGAGCGGGAAGTCTTGCCGTCGAGAGCTACCCCCCCCCCCCCCCGTCTGCCGAACATTTCTACTGGGGTATCAGTCCTTCACACAGGGAACTTCACATGATCGTACGTGTTACCTGTTATTCTTGTGTAACTGTGCAGTATATGGTTTGCGAACCGGACAACATGCAAGCTTCGGTAAAATTATTCGGTTGCACGCGTCATGACAGACTTATTATTCTCCGAGCGAATAAGTGCCTTCGGTATCGGACATTCTCTTGTGTATTGAACGGATTCCACTGCCGTGTTATTCCTGAAAAAATAGGAAATTCCAGCTGTTATGTTCCCAATAAGTGCATTGCTAGCGCCGCTGAAATCATGTGCCCTTTTGGTGCCAACCCGTGGCTCCAAGATGGGTAGATTACACTGGCCTGGTTGGAAAGCCCTCAGAGACGTTAACCGTCGCAAAACGGTGAAAGAGTTCTCTTTCGACTCACGGAATCTTCTAGCTATGCGGAAAAATGATGTTTTACCGCCTGGTTTTCAGGTTAGCGCTTTACATCAACATTTTCGAGTAAATCTGTTGTTGAATGTTGATCCTTCGTTCAGGAAATGGTGGTTCAAGAACACAAGGAGCGTATTCCTCTCAACGCATCGATAACCCGTGTGAGCAACCGTTGTGTGATTACTTCGAAGTGTAAGGGAAGAAGCACACAAAAGCGTTGGCGTGTGAGCCGCATCATGTTTCGACATTTCGCTGATTACAACCTCATGAGTGGGGCACTTCGGGCGCAGTGGAATTAACTGCTTTCATGTTCAGTCGTAGTTGTCCATGATTCGTTCGAGCGTGTTCATTAAATTTTATTTAAAAAAAAAGGATACGTGCTTTCTTTAAATCTGAGTTCGCTTTTTTCCTCTTTTTTTTGCAGGCCTTACATGTAGCTTTTAAGTGAAGTGCGCTGGAGTGATGTCAGACAAAACTGTGTCATATGGCAAAATCAAATCTTCTCTGGGCCAATTCTTGGAAGAGAACAGGTTGCCTTCGAAGGAATGCCTCGCGTAAGTTCCGTCCCTCTAATGGACGTATTTCCAAATTGACGTTTGAATCCTTCCCGTGTAGATCGTTGGATGATATCATACTTGGTTACGTCGTCGGCGTACTGGAAGACATAGCCCAGGAAGATGATAACTTCGACGTCGACGACTTCATGGAAATGATCTCAGCTTATTGTCCTTCAATTTCAAGCATTCCGAAAAGCAGAATTTCTTATTGGGCGCATAGTCTCGCGTTGGAACTCAAAAGCACGTCGGGGGAACCCAGGAAGAAGATTGTGAGTCTGCTCGATTTGGAGTGCAGCTTGCCTCAAATCGTAGCGACGTGTAATGGAACCACTCGACCTTCTCGCATTTCCAAGAATAGTGAGAGCTCCATGAGCTCGGACGATTCTTCCATATCTTCGCAGGTGAGGACTTAACATCCGTACATTGAGGCATTCCGCATGTCCGAAAGTTTCATTATGTCCTCAGTATTCTGCCGCTGAGGAAGAGATCTGTGCTTTGAAAGAACTGTTCCCTTCAACGTCCACGGCAGAAATTAAGCATTGCCTGGCTGTTGCAAATGGGGATATTCAAGATGCTGCTCAGTGGGTTCTCCAGCGCCAGGAAACCGGTGAATCAATTAAGGTACTGTTTGTGTTCCAATGTAGGAGTGACTTCTTCGAATTGCTAATTAACGAATTAGATGACGTTCATTCACTCGGCAAAAGATGCCCATGCAGAGATCTTCTCGGTTTGAATTGATTATATTCTAAATTTATCCATTTTTTGGAATTTATAAGTTACAAATGATGCTTTTCCGGCAGGCTGTTCCGAAATTTTCCAAAGATTTAATCACAAACGATGATGAGTCAGTGAAGAAACACATCATCAGCAAATACTCCTATGTTGATCAAGACGAAGACAAGAAAGAATATCGACCTCCACCCCCGAAATTTGTGAGATTTTCTGGTTGTATGTAAGCCATTACATTCTGAAACTTTTAACAATTTTACCCATTCCAGGAGCCAAAGAAGCTGGTTCGCTATCGCGAAAACCAGATTGTGACCGTGAAAGGCGAACGTTTCACGGAAGTAAAATCCAAGGAAGACGAGGACATGAAGAAAACCTACGTGAACCTGAAACCCTCTCGACAGTATCGGTTCCACTGACAAAAGTTCTGCTTCGTCAGAGGACGAACAATTTTATCATTAACGTTGTTCAATACTTGTAGCTCAGCACCAATTTACGAAACTATGGCAACTTAACATTGGTGGAAATTTTAGACGATTAGATCTGGCTTTTTGGCAATTGCGTGATTTTTTTAAGCAATGGAAAAGATGGTTCTCTACATTTCTTGTTTGGATGAGTCAGTTGTGTTTCGCTTGTTTTTTGAACGATTGTTGTTTTGCGGATTGTTTCATTGCGTTGAATGTTGTAAGTGAATAATGGAAACTGAATCAACTCGAGTAATTTTCTCTTTAGCTTGTCGTGCACAAGACAATTTCAGACCTTGTTTCTCCTTTTGCAGAGTTCTCGAGTTTCTCGAACATGGGAAAGAAACAGCATCAGAAGGATAAATTGTAAGCTTTCACATCCGTTTTTGTCTGAACCATGCTGATCATGAATTATTTCGCAGATATTTGACGACTACTGAATGGACAACCTTGTATGGAGGAAGATCTGCTGTGGATGCGCTTAATGAAGCTCGAAGAAGGGCTTTTCGTCGACTTCCGTACAGCTATTGCTGTTTGACTTTAAATCCTTTCGAAAATCCCGTTTGTGATAATGATGGGAATGTTTTTGAACTTCTGGAAATTGTCCCGTTTGTCAAGAAGTTCAAGAAGAATCCCGTCACTGGGAAGGTAAGAAAATGTTTCATAGTGAAAGCGGTGATTCTAACCAGCTTTTGAATTTTTCTGCAGCCTTTGGATATGAAGAACTTGTTCAAACTTCACTTCCATAAAAATGAAGATGGGGAATATCAGTGTCCCGTTCTGTTTCGGTCCTTCACGAACAACTCGGAAATCGTTGCCATAAAAACAACCGGGAACGTTTATTCTCGCGAGGTTTGTTCCGAAGAAAATCGAGTTTTTCCAAGAATTGAAAATATCGGCGGTTGCTTTTAGGCTGTGGAGCAGTTGAACATCAAAACGAAGAACTGGAAGGATCTGCTGAACGATGAACCTTTCGCCAGAACCGACATCATTGAAATCCAAAGCCCGAACAATCTCGAAAAATCGAATGTGTCGGATTTCTACCACGTGAAACACAATTTGCGGACAATTGTGGCCGAGGATGATGGGAAATCAACGCTCAAGTCATCCGCAATTTCCAGTGACGCGAAAGCCATCGTTGCGGAAATGGAGAAAATCGTTGAGAAGGACAAGGACAAGTTCAAACCTGAAACCAGCGACGGGAAAACGTTGGATAAATTTAATGCTGCTCATTATTCAACGGGAACTGTGGCTGCTGGGCTGACGTCAACGTACATGGCTCCCGAAACTCGGTCTACTGCTGCGATTCTGGAGGACGATGTCGTACGATACGCGAGAATCAAGAAGAAAGGTCTGGGTTACATCTTAGTTAAAATCGTGACATTTTATAGTTTTAATTTTTTCGTAAACTCTTTTCCGTCTTTGGCTTCCCCGGCTATCTTTTGTGTGTACAACAAAATCTTGTTACAAGAAACTTTTAGGGACTCAGAAAAAGTTGGCCATTCGTTGAACAAGATTTTCAAAATTATTGACTGGTGGGGATGTTTTAAAATTAAACCTGCATGTATTCAACATCTTCCTTTTGTGGCCTGTTCAGATGTTTTTCATTGTTCTAAAAATTGTGATCTTAGAAAATGAAAATGTTAACAACCAACATTTGCTCTGAATAGCAGGTAAACTAGCACTTTTTGTGGACTTCAAATTTTTCTAAGCAACTGCACAAATTTGCAAGGGTGGATGCTGTCTAAGAAGTGTACAGTTTTGAAGAATCATTAGGGTTTCTCAAGCATACAAAACCCCTTTCAAGTTTTGCTGGGTTAATTTTTCCATTTTACCCCGTTTCCCTCATCTTTCCTAACCCGGGAACACTTTTTGTAAGAGAGGCTGTTAAGGTGAATTTTGACGAATCATTGTCCTTGATTCCACCTTCCATTTATGACACAAGAATTAGTCACATTTTGAATGGGAAATTTGAGAATGTACCTAATGCCTTCATTAGAGATTTTTTTCATCAGGAAAATCACATGTTTCACAGAAAAGTTTGTTGTACTGCCATTGTAGAGTTTGTTTCAACAAGATTTTGGAAGCATTTACCTTATAGGATTTTGGCTTGGACTTGGAAAAAAGTTTACTGAAACATTTGTTGTAACACGATTTAACTGTACAAAGAAGGACCTAATTTGAGAAGAGTGATGTTTGTTTGATGACACTGCATTAATTCAGAAGATTCTTAAAAAATATGTGATGAAAATATTTTCCCTTGTATTGGATTGCATTAGTGAACCTCAATCAATTTTTGATCAAGCTTTGGGGTAGAAATTTATTTCTACAAACTCATGTGGGAAGTAACATGAAAAATTGATGAGATGACGTAGTGGTTTTATTTTTGATGACATGAACACGCTTTTCGAAATACCATTTATTTTCATTGCAGGATATGTGAGACTTGTGACCAACTACGGGCAGTTGAATCTGGAAGTTTTTTGTGATCAAGTCCCAAAAACCAGTGAAAACTTCATCAAACTCTGCGCGAGCGGCTACTACAATGGAACGAAGTTTCATCGGTCAATCAGACATTTCATGGTGCGTAGAATTAGTTTCAAGTGATACTGTATTACATTTATTGTAAACTTTTTTACGTTACGTATTTAAAAAAAACCTAGGATGTTCTTATCGTGAACAGATTCAAGGCGGTGATCCCACCGGAAAGGGAACCGGAGGAGAATCATTCTGGAAAACTCCTTTTAAAGACGAGTTCAAACCGAACCTGAATCATGCTGGCCGTGGGGTTCTGTCCATGGCAAACTCGGGTCCCAACACAAACAAGAGCCAGTTTTTCATCACATTCCGCTCGTGTCGACACCTGGACAACAAACACTCGGTTTTTGGCAAAGTCGTGGGCGGGCTAGACAATCTGACGGACATAGAAAACGTTGGCACCGATAACGAGGACAGACCTGTCGAAGACATTATCGTGTTGAACGCCCAAGTTTTCGTTGACCCTTTCCAAGAAGTGGACGAACTGGTAAATGAGGACAAGCTTCAACTTTGAAACACCTTATTCGTAGCTTATATACATTTGTTTTTCCACAGTTAGCCAAAGAAAGAGAAGCCGAGGCGAAAAAGAAAGAAGAGGAGAAAGAGGAATACGAATTGGGAGTTCATGGAAAAAAACGTGCAGATTCGAAATCTTCAGCAGAGCCAAAAGTTTTCCGGTCTGGTGTTGGGCGATACATTGATCCCAAACGGATGTCAACAAAGTGAGAATTTTCTTGCTTTCCATTTGGACACCACCTAGTCACGTAAAACGATTGGATCAACTTTTTTGTTATCGTTTGGATCTCCCGTTTGAGCTTCGTGAAAAGGATGCATATGGTGATACTTCTTTTTACAAATCAAAGTACAGTACAGTCAAACCCCGATTTTGTGCCATTGTTTGTCTTGGCAAGTTTTGTGGCAAAAGTGCAGGTGGCACTAAATTTAGGGTATTGTATCAGAAACAATTTCTTTTGAAGGTTTGTATATGATAGATAAAACGGGCTTTTTTGTGGAATTGTTAGGCCATGGAGTCTGTTCTATAAAAACAAAAGCCACACAAAATAATTTGAGGCTCAAATGAACTGTTCTTACTGTACTGTGTGAATTTATGTTATTGTACAGAATACTGTATATCAGATTATTTGCACAAATTAGGTCAAGTTAAAGATTTGGAACGGTTTTTCTCAGTTTTGTATCAACCTTTGAATGAAAGCACACAATTTAAAGGTCAGGTGGAGTAATTTTTAATTTTTTGAAAGAGACTGTCCCAGTCATTGGGATGCTTTTTGCTGTGGAGGACATTCAAATCAAACCAACCAATCAAGTTTAAATTAAGAAATAATGGTTTCTTATTTATCCTAAGCATGGATGTGTGGTAACAACCTAATGATATCCCTAGAAATGTGCCTTAATTTCTCTGATTTACGCCTATTTTTCATTCAGGACTGGAAATTTTTTGTGGCACTGAGTGAGTTGGCACTAAATTGGGGTTTCACTTGAAACACACAAAAAAGACATTTGCTCTAGGGAAATTTGTGGCACTATATCAAGGGTTGACTGTACAGCATTTCAAGTGGAAGTAAAGAGAAAGACAAAAGGGATGAAGTGCTGTCACTTAAGAGAGAAGTTTCAATTCGCCTGAATTATTTTATGAATTTTTTGAGAGCTGTTGTTCTTCGCGAAATTGAACACTTGTTTTAGTTATTATAATCCAATCATTACCTTGCTCACCCAAAGAACTTCTGAAGAAACAAGTGTAACTTATTGAAACGTCGCTCCTAATATTAATTTTTCGCAAGGTTGGGATGCTCTTTCTGAGATGATCTTCCTCTAATTCCATGTGGCGTTCGTTCTTGTAATTTGTGCTCGTCGGATTTGTAGAAAAAAATAACTTCCGAGGAATCAACGAGACGCGATCTTCGAGACTGGTTGTATGTTATGAATTTGGAATAGATGGCTTCCCAAAATAATTTTTGCCAAAATATTCATTTTTTCGCCTGCTTTATTCACAAACGAGAACGCTGTCCATTTTTTTTGAGCTGGATGATTCGATTTTTTTCAGGCGTTTTAATGCTTCGAAACTGGTTTTCATTTCAGGTCATCCATTGATGCTCCAAGTACGAGCACAAGTGCAATTGAAGAACCACCACCTGAGCCGAAAAAGAAGAAACGTGATTCTGCAGGATTTTCGAATTTCAGTTCGTGGTGAAAGGGAGTTGCACGTGTTGTATTTTTTAAATACAAGGAAACTTGTGGTTTTTTTTAATTGATCGGTGACGATTGTCATGAACGAGGTCAAGTCTGAATCGAAATTAATTTCTCTATTACGTTTTCTAGGTATTTCTAAATCGGAAATCTGCTGTAGAAGTGAGAAAGTTTGTCTTTTTGAGTGAAACATGGTTTTTGGAAGGCTTGTTGCTTCTGCTGCCGGAAGAGTCGCCCGTGCTTCCACGGCGCGTTTCCCGGTGCAATTTCATCAAACCAGTTTTTCAAAACTCCTGAATTGTAATGTGCCAAAGATGCTTTCCGTCATCCCGCAAAAGCATGGCTACTCCACGGAAGCCAAAGGTTAGTTTTTTTTGGAAACGTTATTAGTTGTCTCAATAATGGTGCCTCCTTTTTGGTGAACCTAGGTTTATTCATTAAGTTGTACAGTGGACCCTTGTTTGATGAACTTGGTTCTAAACAAAAGTTTCTTGACCAAATATGATTTTGTGATGGACTTCAATAGGAAAGCATTTAATCCATTCTGTGAACCCAGAAGATGAATGACATTGATTATGAAAAAATCAAGACCATCAACTATACAAGTGGTACCTCGCAATTCAACTTCCCGCAATTTGTTGGTTGAATTTGCTTGGGAGGTCAACTCACAATTCGAAAAAAAAATTTCCCAAAATTTTACCTGTTTGGCCTATTTTCTAGTGTTTTTGTGCTGTTTGCCCTTGATTTTGTAGTGTGTCTTGCAATTTTACTGTTTTGCAATTTGACATTAGTTTGGCAATGGATTAGGATTGAATTGCATGGTACCTACTGTAATCAGAATTATTTTTTGCTTCATCTTATATGTATAATGTATCCCAAATGCTTGTAGTGTTACTGTATATGAAAGTAGTGCTGATGCAAACAAGCATAAAAAAGCTTTGAACCCAGAGAAACACATGCTAAAGGATACATGTCAAGTTAAATTGAAAATTATTTTTCAATGCTGCAAGTAAAGATCTAACAGACCTTTTTAACTATTGAAAGATTTGAATAACTAAGCGCAAAAAAGCAAATAATAGTGTTACACAAAATCATATGATTAATGTCAATGAAATAAATTTTAGAACACAAGATTTGACATGAATCTAACAGACCTTTTTAACTATTGAAAGATTTGAATAACTAAGCGCAAAAAAGCAAATAATAGTGTTACACAAAATCATATGATTAATGTCAATGAAATAAATTTTAGAACACAAGATTTGACATGCTGAAGTGCTCAGAGGAAGGAATTTTCAAATCAGCACATAGGTGAATTATTTGCACGTAGCTTTTGCACTAAATTTTAGCCTCAAAGTCAAATTTCAAATTTGGGAATTTACCCTAGAAAAAGTTTCTTCATTGAATTTTAGTTTGTTAACAGGGATTTTTCCTGGAAACCAAAATTTGTTGACCAAAAAGTTTTTAAACAGAGGGTCATGTACATTGTACATTATTCAATAAATCTACCCTGACAGTAGTGTTAATGGATCCAGAACCACGATGGTACCGCAGCATGGTGATGTGAAGCTATTTTGTATTGAATCGCTGATCCGCTTGAGTAAAGTACTCAATAAATTACTGTTCTTGCATGTTATGAAGTGTACCCTATCACTGAACAGAAATGTTTGTAAATTACAATTTAACAAAGAAAACAATTAAAATTCTCGAGAATAATTGAGTGAAGCTTCATCCTCTTGAAAAGTTATGCTGGAATCCACATCTCGAGGTGAACTCTGATGGGTCCCTATGTATATTATGAAACCCCAAATTTGTCTGAGATCCTTTTTTTGTTGTTGTGGGAAAAGTGCATGGAATTCTTATGTATTATTTACGTTGCATTTCTCTCTGAATCCAGGCGATCAAAAGCTTGCCGAATTTTTGAACGAAGAAATCGCCACGGAGAAGAAAGTGCAGAAGATCTCATCTTTGCCCAAGACTCTGGGCTCCTTCGACTTGACTGTGGACAACAGTCGCATCGTGTTTCAGCGCACTATCCGAGAATCTAACAGACCTTTTTAACTATTGAAAGATTTGAATAACTAAGCGCAAAAAAGCAAATAATAGTGTTACACAAAATCATATGATTAATGTCAATGAAATAAATTTTAGAACACAAGATTTGACATGTTGAAGTGCTCAGAGGAAGGAATTTTCAAATCAGCACATAGATGAATTATTTGAACGTAGCTTTTACAATAACTTTTAGCCTCAAAGTCAAATTTCAAATTTGGGAATTTACCCTAGAAAAAGTTTCTTGATTGAATTTTGGTTTGTTAACTGAGGGATTTTTCCTGGAAACCAAAATTTTGTTGAGCAAAAAGGTTTTAAGCAGAGGGTCTACTGCACATTATTCAATAAATCTACCCAAAAGTAGTAGTGTTACTGGATCCAGAACCACAATGGTACCGCGGAAGGGTGACGCGAAGCTACAGTATCTTGTATTGAATCGCTGATCCGCTTGCAAAAATTACTCAATAAATTACTGTACTTGCATGTTATTAAGTGTACCCCATCACTGAACAAAAGTGTTTGTAAATTACAATTTAACAAAGAAAACAATTAAAATTTACGAGAATAATTGAGTGAAGCTTCGTCCTCTTGAAAAGTTATGCTGGCATCCACATTTCAAGGTGAACTCTGATGGGACCCTATGTATATTTTGAAACCCTAAATTCGTCTGAGATCCTTTTTTTGTTGTTGTGGGAAAAGTGCATTGAATTCTTCTGTATTATTTACGTTGTATTTCCCTCTGAATCCAGGCGATCAAAAGCTTGCAGAATTTTTGAACGAAGAAATCGCCACGGAGAAGAAAGTGCAGAAGATCTCATCTTTGCCCAAGACTCTGGGCTCCTTCGACTTGACTGTGGACAACAGTCGCATCGTGTTTCAGCGCACTATCCGAGACGAAGTGTGAGTTTTACTTCATATTAAGCATAAAAATTGAAAGAAACCCCTAAAATTGTTTTGATTGGGTAGAGTGAAGATCGAGCTGAATGTGAATCATTCCGTGGAAACGGCGGTGCCCGAAGGTTCTGGCCAGTCAGATTCCGCTCCGGAAATGTTGTCGAAGCCTAATTTTGATGTTGAGATCAAAAAGGGCGACTCGACCATCACCTTTTCGTGTTCCTTCACGGCGGAAGATTTTTCGCCAGAACAGGCTCAGCAGAATGACGAAGGATTCGGTGAGTGTGTCTGAAGACCTTGTGGACCAGAAAGAAAAAAAAGAGTGGTTTCCCTTGATCTTGGTGACATCTATGAGATGTCGAGCGAACTTTTTTTCCAATGTGTTGGATACATTTTTGTTCTATCGCCAGTCAAGGGCGCAAAAATTAAGCAGAGATTTTTACTCGGGTGCCAGATAATCAAGGAATGTTCCAAAGTCCTAGCCCAGTGTTCTCCAACCCATGGTCTGCAGGAAATTTCCAGCGTAATACATTTATCAGATATAGCAATGAAGTGTGTTATCTTCATCTAAAATTTCAACAAGACAATGGCAATTAAAATTATTTGATGAAAAATGAAAAGTTGGCTTTTCTCCTAATGACACTCCAGACAAATTTTCACCTGCTGAAATAAATTATTTTTATTTTTTCATTCTGAGAAACCTTTTTTCAAGTCCACCTTTCCAATTTTTGATGACTTTCAGCTATGGCTGCTTAATTGGTACTCTACTTGATTTTTGCAGAAATCTAGAAACTTATAATCACCTGCCATAAAGTTTTTCAAGGAAAACGGTTTTCAATTTTTGAAAAATTCATGAAACTTCGCTGGTCTGCAGAAAATTTTTTGTGGTATTGCTGATCCGTGAAACAAATTTTATGGAAATTTTCAGATCTGCAGGCCCAAAAAGTTTGAGGAACACTGTCCTACGCTATTCATGAGCACTCCTTGTTGCAATTTGTGCATAATTGAAGCACTTATTGAGGGGTCTATAACAGACTTGTCCTTTTTGAGCTAACCTACTTCCTGGCTTGTTATTTTTTGTAATGACCTTGCCGTTTGAAGGAACCGGATCTACCCCATAAACTTGGGTATCGCTGACGTGTGGTTCATATTTTCTCTTGAAGATGTTACGTGCGCATGAATACTGAGGTAAAAATAGAAACTTATAAATAGAAAAGCGTTCTTTGGAAGAGTGATATGCAGTATATCCCGATCAGTTTCAGCCACCAATTTCAAAATGCCTACAGTTGAAGTTTATTCCATCAGATTTTTTCTTCACAGCTTTGATGTGATAGGATTTCTTGATGTTTATTTTGATTTTGTGTTTTCTCAGATCTGTTCACAATTGATGAAGTGTGCATCTTTGAGAAGGAATGGCGTGATGAAACCTATGCCGTGTCTGGAGACATTTTGGATGAGGTTAGTGCTCCAATCTTAAATTTTGATTTTGTGTTTTCTCAGATCTGTTCACAATTGATGAAGTGTGCATCTTTGAGAAGGAATGGCGTGATGAAACCTATGCCGTGTCTGGAGACATTTTGGATGAGGTTAGTGCTCCAATCTTAACGAGATCATTCACTTTTCTTTCTATGTAAACCTTTGCTGACCATAGAGATTGTTCCCACATGAGGGTTGTTTAATAAGTTTTGAGACTTCTTGAAATACAGTAGATCCAACGGAGTTGCACTAATTGAAATTTTTAAAATTCTTTTACCCCCATCATTTGGCAACATTTCAGTGCTGTTCAACATACTCTGCCAATTTCAATGCATTTTTTCATGCCAAATGTACTGTTTGAATGAAATTTCCGTAAGATCCTTTCCAGATAAACCACTGTAGATTCCACATAATTTCTTCATACTCAATAAAGAAAAATTTTGCATTTTGGAAAATAATAACTGATTCTGCTTAGTTTCTTATCACACGCATGGAGGAATATTGTAATTGGATTTTTACGTTGGAATGGATAAGCGGGGGGCAATAGTACTTGTAACTGCTTGTACTGCATTCACAAAACCCCATTTTAAGATGTAGATATGACTGATGTTCCAAGCCTGACCTGGAAATGAGTTTAGCCAAATATTTTAGAGCCAGTTTCCTGGAAACTAGTGCTTGAAAGAAATTTCCGGAAAGTTTAATATTCTAAGTTCGTGAAATGTCTTGTAAAATCAATAATTTAGTTGGATGAGGCGTAACAAATGTGTAATCTCAATAAATTGAATTACGATATTGCGAAAGCCACAAGCGTACGGTTTAATCTCTTACTGTATATCCCTGAAGATTTTATTCGGAATTGATGCAGTACTGTATGTTGTGTGGTTGTCCTGTTGCAGTACTTGTATGATCTCCTGATGAACATGCTTGAGGAGCGCGGAGTGTCCAACGAGTTTGTGGAGAAATTGCAGGAATTCTGCACAGGATACGAACACAGCCTGTACATCAAGTTCCTGGAGAGTTTGAAAAAATTTGCCGGTTCTAGTTAAGAATTGGAAGTGGAATAAAAGACGGTAGTTAGTTGATGGAAGGAGGAAAAAAGACTTGTTTTTGTGTTTTAATTCCTTCTGCGGCGGGAAACGCCATCTGGGCTTTGTGTTACGTGCTTGGGCATTGGCCCGCCTGCCTTGTGAAAGGGATGCGAAGGAAATAAAATCCAGATGGCTGAATCTGTTAATTCGTGAATCTCATGATCATTTGCATTAACTGGACTTTTGGCCACACCTTGTTATTTTTGTTGGAACAGAAACATCTTATTTGGTTGTGCTAGGCATAGGTTGTACCAGACTTTTTTGAGACCATGTAATTTTTATATACTGTACTGTACAAGGCAAATGATTGTAAAGTCTGCATCCATGGGAGATCTGGAGCACATTTCACATTCCAATGTGGTCTTGCATGTGCAAAAGATATGCTGATTCATGCATGTAAAAGAATTTTAACTATCATGTGTATTATGAAGTATTTTTCTGCCATTTAATACATAGTGCAGGAATGAAAAAAGTGCATGAGATGTGAGTAAAGTTACCACCAATTACTTCGAACATACTGCCGTCAACCCCTGTCTAATATACTTGATTTGTGCAACTGATATGTACAGTATGTCAGACAAATCTGATTTTCCCACAGGCTCATATCTTATAATTTTTAATTTGTGTTTTGCTTCAGAGTAACAGGAAAATTTAGGGGGAAATCAGAAATACAATATACCCATTATTGAACTGAACCAAACCTGAGCTTAATGTGCTTTTGAAAAAGGAAAGAAGGAAGCCCACAAGTTATACTCATTCATTCTCAAAAAAATGAAAAACATTGAAACAATACACTGATCACCCTGAGTCACTGTCAACTTCAATTTTGAACAGGTTTTGGGCACCTGATGTCCCACCTCCAGCAGGAGAGAAGAAGTCTTTTATGTTGGTTTGCTTCATCTGCCTACTTTTGATGAGGCTGCGGAAGTATCTGCCACAAAGATTATCTGCAGCATCCAGAACTTGCTTCACTTCAAGCTTCTTGGGATGGTGCTTCATGCAGAAATCTCGAGTTATTTCCCAATGTTTCAAAAATTCCTCAATGTCAGCTGTTCTGATGGGAGCCTCCTGTGTTTTAGACAATCCATGTTCTTCCTGGGCTTTCATAGCAGCCATTTCCCTCAGATCCTCCACACTCAGGCCTTCAGCATTGTCTTCAACACGTTCTGTTAGATCTTCTTCATCCACATCCATGTTCAGGTTCCTGGCAGTGGCAACAATTGCAGCAAGAATTTCCTTTTCATCCTCTCCATCATCATCAGGAGCAGGTTGGCAGGATCTTGACATGAGATGCTTTCCTGGCATCTCCTTCTGCTCCTGGGTGATGTAGGTGCTATCAGGCACTTTCTTCCAGAATAAGCCAGTTTCATCTGCATTAAATACTTGATTGGCATTGTAGCCTTCTTCATCAATGATGTCCTGGAATGTTTCATGGAAGTTTGCAAACTCCCAATGGTCAGCACTTCCTGTTTCTCCTGTCATCTTGACATTCCTGATCCCAGTCCTTTTTCTAAATCTGTAGAACCAGCCATTGCTAGCTGAAATTAAGATAATTTCATGATTTTAATAACTATCACTGAAAGATTACTCATTGTGGTTAAAGTATACAAACCTCTGAAGCCTTTCTTTTCTTCTTTGCCATCTTCATCTCCTTCCTGATCATCATCACTTTCTCCTGCATAATCCTTGATGATTTCTTGATATATTTTCCTGGCCTTGCTGCAGATGTGCTCCCCAGACACTGGATCTCCTCTCATTTGCATGTCTTCAATCCACAGGAGGAGGAGCTTCTCCATCTCATCCATTGCAGGAGGTCTCTGCTTTTTGTTGTGGATTTTTGATACACCCCTTGCAGTGGTCTCACAAGCAGACATGATTTTTTCCCTGTTTGCCCAGATTGAATTGATGCTTTGCTTGGGCAGTCCATATTCCTTAGCCACATCAATCTGTTTTTCACCACTTTCAATTCTTTGAATCATCACCCTTTTCTCTTCAAGAGTGATGAGTTTCCTTTTTAGGCCACTCTTTTTGGACATATTCACTTTTTGTATCTGCAAAACTTATATAAAACCAGCAAGATTACAACAAAAAGAACTCAAAAACACAACGCACACACATTCAAAGCCATAATAATGATGTTCTATATACTGTACATTCAAATCAAGTTGGGAAGCATGCCAGAGGATTCATGTCCACTGCTGGCGCACACTTCACAGATTGAAGGTAGTTCTGCAAATTAGTTCTGTATACAGTACTACACAAGGAAAAACCGCCTCTGCTGATGGAGGCAGTCTGTACTGCAAAAAGCTGTACTGTACTGCGGGAAGTCCGTACAGTGGGGCGATTGTTATGTGAAAAATCCGCCCTTCAGGCTGAAAGTTCCGCGATTTCATTTCCGATTGGGGGAAATCCAGCATTGAAGCCATTTCAGAAAAGCTTTCTACCGAAACATAAAGCTGGTGCTAATGCTGGATTCAATTTTCTGTCTGCTTTATCCAATCATCTTGAGAGGCAGCCGCACGTTCCTTCCAAAACGATTTGACTGCTCTCAGGAAACTTTAGTTTCACTATAGCTGCAAGAAGAGAAGACAATTTTTCTGCTCTGGTGGATGAAATCATATCTGTGTTGTACGGAAACAGATCCCCTTCATCAATCGCGTACCAGACTGATCAGGAAGAAAACAGAAGTCCTCGCGCTTCCTTCGTCACAGTCATCCAATCGTTAGCGGAAAGCTATCATTATTTCGAATAAATTGTGACGTTGAAGCTTCTTGGCAGGTAATTTTACTCAATGCCCGCTCATACTGCCCCTCATGATCTGCAATTTCTTTTTACAAGGGACACTTGGCGAGAAAAGTGTTCATCGTTCTTAAGACTTCTCGGCGCTGTACGAACAACACTAGACGTCCCGCGCGGATAGCAATTTAGGATGAGCTCATTTTTTGAATACAGTTGTTCACCTAGTCCTTTTTCGTGTCTATTCAAATGTCGGCTGATACGTGTGTTTTTGGTGAATCTGAGTCCAAGGCTCTGTACTCTAGGAACCATTCTGCTGTCTCTTCGACAGTGAAAACGGTATTTTTCTCCCTGAACGACAGGAAAACAGCCCGTCTGTTCGCCATTCACTGTGAAAGTAGATCTCTCGAAGGCATTCTGTGGACGAGCCAAAAAATATTCGGTGATGCTTCATTGGGTGTCTTCTGTACAGAATTTTACATCCATTTCTCTCTTTTGCAATCTTTGAGAGAACCCAAGAGAAAAGTGGTTTATTATACAGTACTAACATATAGTAAGACTTCAGCCGTTACTACATTACCCTGGATGTGCTCTCTATATAGCTTGCGCATACATAGCGGATGTATCAAAACCTAGTGACATGTCATTAATCTAGTTCGATAAAGTCGACTTGTGAACTGTCGCAAAGAAGTAAAGGTAAGTTTTCTTAAGGACTACGTATACCTTCACCTTACATATTCAACTCTCGAGATAGATCCGTACTGCCCCCCGAATCCAGGCAACTGAAGGAAAGAGTAAGGAACTCCCTTACAGCGACATCTATCCAGGCATGCGGGACTCCCGTGTCATTCAGCTTACCCACCTGTTCTAACCGGAACTCCCGGAAGGAGGGACCAGAGGAGAGGTGGAAGCAGCAGGGAGCCCCAATCGTCACTTCGCTCCGAGATCTCGACTAGAGCACTTCTATTCTTTTTACTGTGTGACTTGTGACTCTTTATGTTGTTGGTGAAATCAAATACGACTATTTAAATTGTGACAAGAGGCCGAGGACATTTATTTCTGCATCAAAACCTTATTGGGGGCTCGTCCGGTCCGAACCCTTCAACCTTGATCGACTCTTGTTCACAACCGAATGGTGCGTACTACTGAGAACTCTAAAGCTGCCGCGTTGCCCTACGTTCCGCCAAACGCCGACCCAATGCACAACGCTGAAACCCCTGCGGAAGCCACTCCGGGAAACGCCCCGGCTCCGAAGCCCGCTCCGTTACCAGCGCCGCAGACGGGATGGGAATTGGTGCCAGTGCCCACGCTCAAGTATCTAATCCACGCATACGAGCTCGGCCAACCCGCCGGCGATGAACGACGGCATCTCATCGCTCTTCTTCAGCAGAACCTCATCCCCGCCACGCTCGCACAGGGCTGGCTGCCACCACCGGGCTGGCAATCTCAAGCAGGGCAGTCTCCACATGCTACGCCGTGGTCCTTCTTCCCCGCTCTCAGCGGCTCGGCATCACCGGCTACGCCTACAACTCCTCAGCTACCGCCCCTGCCAACACGGAATTCCAGTGAGCTACGACTTTCTGAACTACCCAAGCAGCGCGACGACGAACCGTTCGAGGATTACGCCAAGGGCTTACGTCGCATGCTGGCCATCGACAACGTCACCCTCGGCATGAAAGTTCGGTGTCTTCTCCACAATACCTTGCCCGACATCCAGGCATCAGCAGCGATCCTGTTCCGCAAAGGCCACGTCAAATTTGAGGCCCTAGCAACAGCGCTTGCTCGCGCTTACCCCACACCGCATCTGGACCGGTTGGACCAGTTCTGTCAGGCTCGACCCAAGTCCGGCGAGAGCTTCGTCAACTTTGGAGAACGGCTGGAACACTCGTTTGACCTGTTCACGGGAGCAACCCCCGACAAACCGCTGTCCGCTGCTGACATCCGCCAAAAAATGCTGATCGACCAACTCCTGACTGCCGTTTCGGAAGACCTGCGGGACGAGCTTCGTGAGAAATGGTCCGACGACAAAAACCTGTCTTGGGAGAAAGCCCTAGAGGAAGCTGAAAAGTTCCGGCTCCACAAACACGCCACCGCAAAACCGGCTCCAAAGACCTCGTCCGGGGGACGGCCGAACAATGCTTAGCAGCCTCCAGAAAACCGGCCCGACCTGCCTCCAAGACAATGGTGCGAGGGGCACCAACGCCACGTCCGACATTCTCCGCAGGATTGCCGTATCCTCTGTCGCCATAACCGTAACGCGGCTTCCGGGGGGCAACAGACGACTTCGAAACCTGCTCAACCAGCCTCGCAACCTACAACATCTTCAACCGATCAGGCGAATGTTCCTATTTGTTTTCATTGTAACGCCTCGGGGCATATTAGTACTTACTGTCCTTTATTGAATCAGGGAAACTCCAAAAAGCCACAGTGAATGCGGCACACTGTGCAGCTGCTGCCTCCGCCGCTCCTCCTCCCATCTTCCTGGATCTTCAGCTTGGCGATCAATCCGTTCCGGCCTTACTCGACACGGGGGCCTCGCATGCCTTCGTCTCTCCATGGCTGGTAACGTCGCTGCGTCTGCAAACAAACCCCCTTAGTATGTCCGTACATACATCACTCACATCCTCCGCAGTTTCGGTCAGTCATTCCGTTTTGTTGTCATTCCGTTTTCGCAAAGCAGAGTATCATGTTCCGTTTTTAGTTCTGCCATCCCTAACCGAACCCGCGATTATTTTGGGCCGCACCGCGCTTTTACAGCTTCCGGTCACGCTGACCGTTGACGGCGAACGTTCTTTTGTGGGGTTCCAGCAAACCTCACGTAACCAGGCATCCCCAACGCTCGATATCGGGGAAGGTATTTCATTTGTAGACAGTTCTCAGGAGGAGCGCCTCCAGATCACCCGGATACTGTGCAAACACGCCAACGGCGTTCACCAGTGGTCCGGTCGGCGCGGGTTCTTCCCTGAACACATCGTCAAACTCACCGCAATCTCGAATGACATACCTGCAACCCGCTCTTTCAGACAATCGGCAGAAATGACGATCCCGTTCAACGCGCTGGTGGACGAGTACATCGCGGCTGGCATCATCGAACCGGCTGCTTCACCGTTCAATTCCCCAGCTTTTCTGACCTCCAAGCACTGCGACGACCCGCAAGCTCCCTACAATAAATGGTGGCGACTCGTCGAAAACTACCAAGCCCTCAACGACACGCTCAGTGATGACCACTATCCGATGCCGATGATTCAGGACCTGTTGGACGCCCTCGGACGACACAATGAGTACTTCTGTACTATTGACCTCCATTCGGCCTTCCACCACCTACCCATCGCGTACCCCGACCGCCAAAAAACGGCCTTCTGGACCCCCAGAGGCCAGATGCAGTATCGGGTGATGCCCTTCGGCCTCAAGAACGGACCAGCGGCATTCCAGCGAGCGGTTAACTCCATCCTAAGAAAACATCTTTTCACCAGGTGCCTCGTTTACATGGACGACATTATTGTTTTTGGAGCAGATTTCGAACAGGTCCGCGATAATCTCGACCGAGTGCTGATGGATCTGACCGCGGCAGGAGCTGCCATTGACCTTTGGAAATCAACCTTTTTGGCAAGGCGCATCACCTTTCTCGGACATGAAGTCGACCAGACGGGTACCAGGCCACTCCAAAAGGACATGGACGCCGTCCGCAAGTTTCCGCGACCAGAGACCACGCGACAACTCCAACGATTCCTCGGTATGGCTACATATCTCCGCGCGCACTTACCAATGAATTTTGCAGAAGCCGAAAAAGCGCTCCGCCGCATCATCCCAGCGAAACCCCTGACGCATCTCGCCTGGGACACAGCGGCCAAACAGGCCTTTGCTAACATCAAGGACATGCTCGTGGAATCGGCCCACTTGGAACGCATCGACCCGAAGCGACCAACCAAGGTACATTGCAACGCCTCGGCTACAAGCCTTGGAGCAATCCTCGTGCAGATTGACAAACAGGGACACCCCAGGGTGATCGAATACGCAAGCCGGGTCTTGTCCGACACTGAAACGCGGTACACAAATTCTGAAAGAGAGCTTCTGGCAATCGTCTGGAGCGTGACACGTAAGTTTCGCCATTACTTAGAAATGCGGGACTTTACGGTTTATACCGATCACAAGGCACTATTGGGAGAGTTAAAAACAACCCGTCTCATATACCTGAAGACTAAGCTTGCTCCCTTCAAGATGAAATTAGTGCAACGCGTATGTATCGCCTACATAGTTTTGGATCACTGTACAGTAATTAGATCAAGCTATTTCAGCTGAACACTTGACAGCGTTTCTTCATTTCCATTCAAAAGAATTCCTGATGCATATGGAAGTGGAAGCGTATTCAACTCTCGAGACAGATCCGTACTGCCCCCCGAATCCAGGCATCTGAAGGAAAGGGTGAGCTCGAAGTCGGCGTGTAGCGCACAACTATGTACGGCAGATGCTTGCACACTGAAAAATTCAGATTATGATGTATTTTGTAGGTGTCGCTCTCTGCGAAGAGGGCTAAGATTTTCCTTGTTCCATAAAATTCAAGACCTAACCTAGCCTTAGATACCTGACTGACCTAATATTCTCCAGCAAACTTAACCTGACAAACTTAGCCTAACGCCGCGGAGGTAACTATTGCAGAATTCCAGGGAACGGTCGACGATCGCGCAAGTGCTACAGCAGCGACATCTAGTGGTTCTGATTTACGGTTAGTGTAAATTCTCCTCAGTGTCTCATCCAAAGTTCACCATTTACGTGAGGTGTCCAATGTTGGGGTGCACTTCCGAACTAGCCCTTCATTTTCGTGTGAAATTTTAGTTCTTGGTTCGTTCGAGATGTGCGAACATCTCTGAAGTGGATTAAGCATCCTTCTGTGACGATCAGATCGCAGGATTGACAGTGATAAGTGGGACTTGTGACTATGAATGGCCGTTAATTGATCGGCAAAAACGTACGCTACTTCCCATTAGAGCTGTGAAAATAATACTGACATGAGTGCCGTGATTACTTGCGGAGTGCTCACTGTGAGTGACACCTGCGCCGCGGGAACTTCAGAGGATCGAAGTGGACCCGTGTTGTGTCAACTGCTTGCTTCGGGCGAGCTCGGCATCCGAGGAGAGATAATAGCGAAGGACATTGTGCCTGATGATGTTGGTCAGATCCAGAGTGTGTTGGTGAAGTGGGCAGCTGTGGAGAAACTGGATCTCGTGGTCACAACTGGTGGTACGGGGCTGAGTCCGCGAGACGTCACACCTGAAGCAGTACGAGCCGTGATTGACCGTGACATATTCGGGATGTCGTATGCCATGATGGCTGGCTCTTTGGATATCACACCCATGGCCATGGTGTCACGTCCAGTTTGTGGAGTGAAAGGTTTGTGACCTTCTTTTGCGGAGGCGCAGTTTCAGTTCTGTTGTAGTGTGACAAAAAAAATGCGGCAAAATGTTGAATATTTTCAATCCCGCTTTCCATTAGATTGGGAAGTTTATAACGATCGAAATGTCGCATCGTTTAGTGACAAAACCAGGTACTGATGCTGAATGTCATGCTATGGTACCGTATCTGCTGCTAATCGAAAATGTCTGGGACTCAATCAACTATCTGTACTGTTCATCGTGAATTAATTTAGTTTATATTCCTAATTCCTCCTGTAGGTAATACAATCATTATCACGGTTCCTGGAAGCCCAAAAGCAGCTGCTGAATGCATGAAAATCGTCAAGCCAGCGCTTCCACATGCCTTGGACTTAGTTAAGGGAGCGAATAAATCGGGAGTCAGTCAGCTTCACAGTAAAATGCAGGGACATCGTTGCCCTGGGCATTCACATGTGAGTGCGATGTTTAAGAAATGCCCTCGCCATTCGAACTCTTGGTCTGTCTATCGAGTGACGCGACAGGGACCAGAACTTTTGTTTTGTTTTGTTTGTTTGAATACAGTATTGTCCCGAGTACGCGGCCCTCAATTCTCTGGTACCCCGGCGAGTTGAAGCAACATCCGTTTTCAGGAGAACGGTTACCGTAAGATCAACAGCTCGATCGTGATGAGAGATTCGTTTCGAAACTAAGTTTTTGGAACAATCAAGTGCGCTTCTATATCGGCAACATATTTTTCGTCACCGTCCTTCGAAGTGTCTTGTCAGCTTTGAAGAGCAAAGTGAAACTCAGCATGCGTCTTTCGATTTCGAAAAATGTTCATTCGAACCTTTTGGAAAAAAAAGAAGAGATAAATCAAACGCATCCGTTGCCCTGTGTCTTATTCAGCAGAATAGTGCTATTGCACTGAAGAATGTCTGCCGTTGAAAGCTTTTGATGAATACGATTTCCTGAAAACTGTACAAGTAAACTTTTTTTTTGTTGCGTACGTTGGAATGAAGCGTTTATTTGCCTGCGCGATGAAACATTTCCCGCATTTTTCCTGAAATTTTTTCCTCGTGATGAGCAGTTTTTCAGGATTTTGAGCGCTATTGTGTGATCTCACACGTTGCATGTCGCCCTACGATTTTTTCTTTCTGTAAACGGGTCTGAGTCTCTGGAAAAGACAAGGACGAAGGAATTATCTAAAAATGTATTGATCTGTTTTGGTGTGGGAAAACAGGTACTGTACTTCAGCTGTGCGATGAAGAGAACGCGCTCAATTTTTATTCAAACATTTCCCACATTTTTCCTGAAATACTTTCCTCGTGATGAGAAGTTTTTGCATTACTTATCATTGCAGGATCTCAGTTTTTTGGTACCCCGGATGACGAACATGGTCAAGATTCACTCTTTGTAACCAAGAATGTACGTGCACGAAACCGAGAATTGGAGGAAAGCTTTTTAAAATTTTAAACTGTTCATATTCAGTGGAATGTCGTTTACGACGAATTTCATCATGACGAATCAAACGCTTACAAGGAATTTTCTTTTCGGTCCTTTAAAGCCACAATGCTATTTTAATTTCGTTTCCAAAAATTGTTGTTCATAGCGAAGCTTTTTTTTTTTTCGAAGTCCCAAGCGCTTCGTTGTGAGGAGATTCTACTGTAAATCAAAATGTGCGGATGGATCTTGTATGCAGGACTTGTGAACTAACAATTTAGATGTTGTAATTTATCGTAATTCGTAACCCATTTCCTCGTTTCAGGAAGAAAGTGACGCACCTGTTGCATCAGACCCATCAAATGTCGCTCGTCGTCATCGTCACTCACCGTTTCCCATGGTTTCCATTGAAACAGCCTTGGACGCTGTTCTAAAGAACAGTAAAGTCTCTCCACGAGCTCCGGACATTTTGGATGTGCGAAAGTCAGTTGGAAGAGTTCTGGCGACTGATGTTTCCTCATCTTGTGATATTCCGCCATTTGATGCCTCCATCAAGGATGGTTATGCTGTGAATGCTGCAGACGGGCCAGGAGAATATGCGGTGATGGATGCCATTACAGCTGGCAACAGTTTGAAGCAAGATTTCACGTTGCAAGAAGGGTATTGTGTTAGGATCAGCACGGGTGCTCCGTTGCCACAGGGTGCAAATGCTGTTGTACAGGTCGAGGATACAGTATTGTTGGAGTGGGATGAAGAATCAAAGGAAGAAGTGAGTCATTTTGTGTCTTGGACATGCACATGATGGTGTCACATTCGTTTTTCTGTGCAGATTGACTCTTTTTTTGGTTCCACGGTTGCTACTTTAGGAAAGGTCTACAAATAAATTCTTTTATTTTTTTTTTTACAAGAAATTGTTTTTCTGGTCTTCAGAATTTTGTTGTGGAGAGTACACCTATATTTTTTAATGTATTTTTATCCTGAGTTGGCTTGGAATCAAAGAAATCTTTCCAATAAGAGGTGTCTTCCTGATTCTAAAATGTGATTCAAGCTTACTTGGGAATAAAAAATATGATTTAGATTTTAGAGGAGTATATTTCAAATCTTTTATGGCTTGTCATCTTATGTGTATTTAGTGTGTCCCAAAAAACATGAAGAATACCCAATATTTCTGTACATGTTTTCCAGACATACAGTACTTTCACAACGCTGCATAGCAACTGTGTTGTGCATTGTACTGTGTCATCTCTGTGTTTGGTCACCTGTTGTGTATCTTTTGGCCATCCAGCTTTCAATTTTTTTTCAATGTGAGGTCATTAGCCTTTTGCGCAGGCCCAAATATATGAAGGAGTGTCCAGCACTCTTTACACACTCATTGTCTTTCTGGTATCTGTTGCAGTCAGTTGTCTAAGGAAAATACAGATATTACACTTCTGCATTGTAAAAGGAGTCCAGATCATTTAAAAGCCCTGGCCATGAAAAAAATATCTTCTCCTGAACCCATTTTATTCTTACAGAATTCAAAGCAAAGTGAATCTTGAGAACTGAAGATATTTTGGAAGTGGAAAGTCTTCATTACAAATTTTCAATTTCCAAACAAAATTGGATGACTTAAGATAACAGGCTTTTATAATACAAAATCAACGTATTCCTCTTGAAGGAAAGTGAATCAAATTTATAAATGTATTTTTAATCAACCACGTGACGCACTTTTTGGCCTTGGAGTATAAGTCTTGAAACTATGCTGGACATTCTTGGTGGAAAGACTATTTATTTACTTAAAAACAGTGCCACGGTTATTGTGGGATTACAGGATCAAGATCTTTTCTTTCAAGCTTTTCTTGGTGATCAGAAGAGACAGGCGTGAGATGTCAATGAAAGGTGATCGCATCTTTTTGACGTGAGATGTTATTTTGTCTCAATCAAAACTCACTTCATTTTAGAGTAAATCGCCACCTTTCATCGTCATGCAATGAGAGTTTGTTGTGTGACCTGCAGAAGTTTTCGAAACTCGGAATCCTCAACGACGAAACCACGAACTCTTTATTGAAAGTTGATCTGTCTTTTGCAGAAGAAAATCAAAATCCTGACCAATCCAACAACTGGACTAGATGTGAGGACCAAGGGCAGTGACCTGACAAAGGACACCTTGATCATGAGAGCCGGAACGAAGTTGAGTCCTGCAGACGTTGGAATACTAGCATCCGTTGGAATAACTCGAGTGTCTGTCGTCCAAAAGCCGAAAGTAGCTGTTCTTTCCACGGGCAATGAAGTAATGGATCCCTTTTCCCACTCTTCCGGCGACTCCGGCATGGATTTACCTTCGGGAAAAATCTGGGACTGCAACTCGACAACTCTGACTTGTCTCGTGGAATCGAAAGGTCTCGGAGACGTGGTTGTGTGTCGAACAGTGCCTGATGATGTAGTCGAGCTCGAGAAGGCATTGCGAGACATTTTGAGCGAATGCGACGTTATCATCACGTCTGGCAGTGTTTCCATGGGCGAGAAAGACTTGCTCAAGTACGTTTTGCAGCAGAAACTGGGTGCGACTGTTCACTTCGGTCGCGTGAACATGAAACCCGGGAAACCCACTACATTTGCCACCACTTCGGACGGGAAGTTGCTTTTCTGCCTCCCCGGAAACCCCGTGTCTACATTTGCAACTGCACATTTGTTCGTCGTGCCTTGTTTGAGAAGACTGTGTGGAGAAGGTTTGCCGAATATTTTGTGGGTGGGTGTAGAGCTCGGAGAGGATTTTGCGCTTGATTCGCGACCCGAATTCCATCCCGCGGTGATTCGTAGACGAGGGAACAGGAAGTTACCCCTTGCCTTTTCCACTGGGGATCAGCGAAGTAGTAGACTCATTAGAGCCAGTGGTGCTGATGTGCTTTTGTTTTTACCCGCTGCGGAAAATTCTGTTCTCAGGAAGGGTGAAATTGTTGAAGGACTCCTCCTGTGAAAGTTCATTGTTTGTGTTGGTGTTCTTCAACTTTTTTCGGCCAACAGACTGGAAAATTTCTAAAAACAATTTCTGCAGGCTGGCAAAGTTTCATGAAAAATTTTCTGACTCAAAAAAGTTTTGCTTGAAAGATTTGATAGCAGGTATTTAAAAAGTTTCTGCCTTTTTACACGAATTAAATTGAGAACTAATGGAGCAGCTATAGTGGTATGTCTTCAAAATTTTAAAAGGTGGACTTGAACAAAGTTTTCTCAGAATGACAAATTGAAGTAATTTATTTCAGTATGTTAAATTTGTCTGAAGCATTATTCGGAGAAAAGCCAACTTTTATTTTTCATCAGCTAATTTCAACTGTCATTGTCCTTCCAAAAGTTCAGGAAAGATAACAGACTTCATTGCAACTTTTTATGAATTTGTTATTCTGAAGAAAATTTCCTGTGGACCAGAAAAAATTATGCAGACTGGCACTGGTCTCCAAACCATGGGTTGGGGAAAATGATTTGTCGGTGCTGCCCAACTCCAAAGTGACCAAGGGCCACATAGCAGAGGTGAAGAGTCCTTGCAAGCCACAATAATGAACAATCATTTTTGATATTTCAAAATTTCTACCTTTAAATAAAAAGTGTCAAATTTAGTTCAGAGCTACGCATTGAATCATAAGCGTGGCCTCATACAATTTTTGAAAGGTGGAGTAGTATTTTGGCTACTTTCCTGTTATCTCTGTACCTACTTTCCTGTTATCTCTGTACCTACTTTCCTGTTATCTCTGTGCCTTCCCTCTGACCAATGTAACTTGTAAAACATCCGCAAGGGTTTCAAACAATTCCGTGCCTTATTTTATATAACTGATAAGATTTCTTTGAGTCGAGTAGCTCACTCAAAGAAGCTGAGGAAGATATTGAGTGACTAACACAAGTTTAGTCACATTCACAGAGCTTACCTCAGGGGCAAGTGAGTTGAGTTCGGCGCACGAAGTACGATACTGTACACGTTGTCGGTAATCTAACGAAAGTTTTTTGCTATTTCAAAGCTCCTCGCCCTTTTCCCTATTGAACCAAGAGCCAATCCCAAATCCAACGTCAAACAACATCGCACGATGAATCTCTTCGACCTACCACGAACTGAGGAGGATGCGATAAAGTTTCTGCAAGAGCGAGGTATTCTCCCATCGAAGCGAATCTGTTGGAACGGTCACGAGATGAAGCTAAGCGTCGCGAGTCAAGTGATGTGGCAGTGCAGCAAGGCAGAGTGCAAAGGCAAGGCAGGGTCCAGAGTCAATATGCGCGTTGGAAACTGGCTGGCTAACTCGAAGCTCTCCTATGTGTCAATTGTGAGGTTTGTCTACTGCTGGGCCCACGAGTACACGTCCATCAACTTCGACAAGCAGGAGCTGGGCATGAACAAGAACACCACAGTGGACTGGTCTAGGTACATGCAAGAGATGTGCGTCGGCTACCTCAAGCAGCGCGGCACCGAGCGAGACTTCATGGATACCTACTTGGCCGAGTTCACTGTGCGTGAAGAGATGAAGGCGGATGGCGTGGAACCCTTTGACTTCATCCTTGAGAAGATCGTTGCCTATTGGCCCCCGGAGGAGCAGCTCTAGATTGATATTGGTTGACCTATGGAGGTGAATAATAAAGTACAGAGATAACAGGAAAGTACCGTCTTGGTAATCTTTGAATCCATCTTTTGATATGTACTTTGAATAGTTGCTGCTGCCACTTTCAAAATTGTAGGGAGAAAGCTGTAGGAACAGATGAGTATCTGTGGGCCAGATCTGACCTACAGTCAGTATGTTGGGCAGTGCCGGTTTACATAATTTGTTCATGGTCTATATTACACTTCACTATATAATATTTCACTCCTATGTTTCATGTCAAGTCTTTTCAACCTGTGCATGAAGTTTTGGCAGCATTTCCCCCAGTCGAGATAATGCCATTACACAGCAAGGTTGAAAAGCATATTTTTTTTAACGCTGAACTTGTGCTTTGTGGCTTCTGCTTTGGAATTTGGCTGAGGTGGCGTCTTTAAATCCAGTGCTGAGAAAGAAACTTAACACTTGTGCAGCAAAGTCAGGATATTTTTGCAAAATTTTGTGCCACTGGGCACTGGGAATACAAAAAAAATTTTTCACCAAGGGCTAAGTTGGGAAAAAGTCCCAAGATTTTTTTCTAATCCTGCAGAAAATTTTCAACGAAATTTTAAAAAATCCCTGGCTGGGTGGCGTTTTTTCCTGCATTCCTGGCTTAGGATTTGCATGGGAAAATCTTGGAAACAAAAGAAAATTTGCCTCCCGGATTTTTCCCAACTTAGTCCTCCTCAACCTGGGCGCATTTTGGTAACCTTGGATCAAACTGAAATGCGCCGCCCCCCGGAAATATCCTGACTCTGCCGAACACTGAGAAAAAACCCTCTGCCATCCAAGGATTAATTGTGGCATAGCTACTGTATTTACTCAAGCAAGACTTGCATCCCAATTTTTCAGCCTATAATTTTGATGAAATCCTGTCCAGTAAAATGCGCACGCAATTTTTATTGACTGAAAAAGCTGCAATATTTCAGAGAGAAGACATCAGAATTCGAATTCAGGCTTGAATCAAATCTGAATGCAAATAACATTAATTATTTTCATTGAAGACAATTATTCAGACAATATTGGTCCGAAATTTTCTGTTGGAATCAAGTATGATGTGCACCTGAACTTTTAAATTGTTCTGAAAAATGTCATGCCTGCCTACAACGCGCAACCTTTATTTTCCTGAATTTAAAGAAAAAAGGTGCTGTGTTACTCCCAGTAAAAATTGTAATACCCGTGCCTAAAATTGCCTGGTGTATTTGCAGTTGTGAATGGATCAAACATCTTCCTGTCCAAGTGTTCTACTAAATGGTTCTGGTGCTAATCAAATGTTGGATCTAAAGAATTGCAATCCTGTGTTTAAATATGTAACCGTTTTTGGGTGCGATATTTTTTTTCTTTGTGAGATTACGAAACAGACCCAGGGAGTACTGTACAAAGTTTCCTGGATGGAAGATGTCCGTAATTCTGCAACCTGTGTTGAGCGAAATTCTATTCCGCGAGCGAAAAAAAAAATCTTTAGTGTTCAAAATCAAAAATACTGCATTCGAAGGGAAATGGAATTGCTTTGAACTCCTTCATTTGTGATTAGTGTCTGTATTATTTTTTATTTATGTTTTCCAGACAAAAATTGTGATATGGAATGCGATCAGAGTGAGGAGATCTCAAGCAGTGATGGGCGTGTGGTGCCGGCGTGTCAACAGCATTTTGCTGATTTTCGCGACTATGAATCTGATGATGACGAGGAAGAACCGTGTTCTTCATCCAACAACGCTTTGTTCTGCTTGCCAGTTTATAATGGGACGCAAGTGTCAGAGTCGGAGAACAACCCAGGTTCTTCCTTGATGACCATCTCTGGTCGCAAGCACAAGGTTTGAGTTTGTTACTTTTTTAAAAAAATGCTCGATGCACGATTTATTATTTATTTTTTTCAGATTTACACGGAAGCGTTCAAAGAAGAAGCTGTGCGTTCGAGTCGCGGATTGAGTTTGAAAGCTGGAGCGGGTGTTTGTAGAATTGATCCGAAAACTTTGGCAGTGTGGACGAAGGAGGTTGAAAAGCGACAGAAAGCCTGTTGTGCATCAGAAAATCCAGAAGCTGCGTTTGTCGCTTGGCTTCATGCGACGTCTGTGGAAAATCAAGCCATTGATCGAAAGTCCGTCATTGACAAGCTCACCGAGTTTTCCGGTGCTATTAATAAGTGAGTGAGAAGATGTACAGTCAAACCCCGATAAGACGCCACCATTTGTCCAGAGCAATTTTGGCGGTTCAAAGCGGTTGGCAGTTAATCAAATATTTAATTTTAATTATTTGATCAAAAATACTTTATTTTCCTCCCAAAAGTCATAGAGATACAGGTTATGTAAGAAACTTTAGTAATTTTCCCAAGAGTATTGCTGTGATCAATGGATTACTCTTTCAGAAAATTAATTTTGCTGCATCAATTTGTTTAAATTTTAAGATTAGGTAAATATAATTTTCAACAAAATGATCATTAGTGTTATTTTTGTACAAAGAAAAGATCCTTGGCAGAAAGTAGAATTCTACCCCAATGTTGGCGTTGTAACAAAGACAAAACTAATTGGAAACAGCACTTTTGTTTCATCACTAATGCTGGCGGATGGCGGTTGGCATCTTATCAAGGTTTTCTATAGAATTTAACATAGAGGGCATTTGTTTCATTCAAAATTTTGCCGTTGGCAAGGGTGGCGCTTTATTGGGGGGCGTCTTAACGGGGTTTGACTGTATTATGCTGCAAAAAAGGGTGGATGTGAAATTACCAAGGTCAGTTGATAAGTTTTGAGACTTATTGAAGTACAGTGGACCCTTGGTTAACAAAATGTATGATTAAACTTTCTGTTTTGAGGGAAAATCCATTGGTTAACAAACCAAAATTTGGTAAAGAAACTTTTTTCTGAAAAAAATCCGAAATTCTACGATTTAAAATTTGATTATAAGCCTGAAATGTATGGTACAATCCAGGTCCAAATAATTCACCTATGCATTGATATAAAATGCATCCCCTTCTGGCTATCTGATATGTGTAATCTTGTGTTTACAAATTTGTTTCAGGTACAGTATTCATATATGTCCTTATGTGGCAGAATTATTTGCTCTTCTGTGCTCAGTTTTTCTAGTTTTTCAATGGTTGGAAAGTTTTATTTGATTTTTATTTGCAACATGAAAAAATAAAATTAATTTCCACCTGACAGCACATATCCTACAGGGTGTTTTCCTCTGAGTGTGAAGCTTTTTAATCTTCGTTTTTGTCAGTGCTACTTCCATTTATAACTGTGAAAGCAGTCTTGGCTTATATAGGATGTAGCAACAATTTATTTTGATACTAGTTCATGGTCTTGCATTTTTTATACCAGTATTCAATGTTTGATTGTCTTTTGGGTTCACAAAATGGATTAAATTCTTCCTCAGTGGAGTCTAAGGGAAAATCAAATTTGGTGAAAAAACTTTTCCATTAACAACATTTTGTCTGGAACCAATCAAGTTAGTTAACCAAGGGTCCACTGTACTTCGTTGAAAGTACAATGATTGCAGACTGTTTGTGAGAAATTGTCCCAACAAAACAAAGAAGCAATTGAAATGCTAAAAAATGTCATTAAAATTAAAGTCAGACTTTAAAATATTTTCAATAAAAATGAAGAAAGTTTCGTCATGGTTCCGTTTTTTAAATTTATCTTGTATCTGAAGGTTTTCTTGAAACTTCAGTTTGTGGACAAAAAGTCAAGAACTGCAATTAAAAGAACTACATTTTAGCAAATTTCAATGTGTTCTCTCAAAACGTATAATACAGTATTTGATTTATTTGTTTCGTAACTATTCTTCATGTATCCTAGGCGCGTGAAGTACAATTTTTATTTGGTTTCAGACTGAAACCGAAAGGTTGGTTCGTCCAATGGACAGCAAAAGTTGTTCCAGACCTGATGGCTGGAATAACAGTTCCGCTGGACTCACGCATTCAGTTCCCGTACAAATTCAAGCACATTGTGGTTCAGCTGGCCCAACGCCAAACTCAGCGATCCCTTTCAGTCGCTTTATCAATTTCGAGGAAACAAATTGCAGATTGGATGAAGAACTGTGAGACGATAGTGTTTGAAGCTGCCAAGAACTCTGAGCGAACTGGGCGCAGGTATTAATAATTAAATCTGCCCTTTTTTTTCAAATGTGAACGATGCTATTGTGGTTTGAACAGGTTCGGCGTAACTGCTGTGAAGCAAGAAAAAGCAGAAAAACGGTTGTATGAATGGTGCATGAACCGACGTCAAGAACTTGGTTGTCAGCCAAAGTTTGAGGAAGTGCAGCAAAAAGCAAGAGCTTTGTTCATAGCGAGGTGAGGTTGGGATATATTGTACAATTAAATGTTGGTGTTTTCGTAAAATTTAGAATAAGCGATTGATTACGGAGGCCATTTTCATGATCATCACACGATTGGGGCCTCAAGATGCGGACATAAGTCCTTCTCGGATTGTGTCTGTATGTTGGAACATCTGCATGTTGGATCACATTTTTCCATAAACTTTGAATGGGAATACTTGCAATCAATTCTCCTGTGTTAATCTTAGTTGTTACCGAATTGTTGAGGATTTCATAATACTGTATCTCAGAATGCAAAGGGATTCGAAGTGCTGGAGCAATAACACAGCTTGTAGGGAATACAGGTGGTACCTTGCAATTTGACCATCCAGCAATTCGTCTGCCCTGTAATTTGACAGTGGAATTTGCAGGGAGGTCAATTTGCAATTCAACCTCTGTCCCACAATTCAACGCACAGAGAGGTGCAAAACATTGAATAAAATGTAGAAAACATTGTATTTGACATTGCTTTGGAATTCAACTGCCTCACAATTCAACACTAGTCCAGCAACATATTTGAGTTGAATTGCTGGGTGCCACCTACACAGGAAGTTCTCTTGACCTCAACTTATATGATATGACATCAAGGAAAATGATGGACAACGTTATCTGTTGATGTTTTTAGTGAGACTGACTTACATTCTCATCATCCAACATCAAATTTCACTGAAGGAACAATCAGACCATAAAAGAAAACCGGATCAAAGATGAAACTCTAATAACCAGTTTGATTTGCCTGGTGCTCTGGTGTATATCAGATTCCAAGAATAATAACTTTGTGAAAAATTAAGATAAAATACATCCAACACTGTCAAAAGAAAGACAACTCAAATACAGTAGCTTCAAATACAGTTCAAATCTTCAAAACCATTCCCTAGATATTGGGATCAAGAGATGATAATCAATAAATACACTCACTCTTGACTAAACCACTTCGAGTGAGAAAGTACGAATAGGACCACATTCAATTCTTGCTCTGTGGTTGGCAGAAATTTTATTCAATTCCAAATGATTCTCCTATTTGGTGAAAATTGAAGAAATGTCCTCCGAAAAGTATGGAATTGTTTTTCACTTTTAATATACAGTACAGAAATATAAGAGAAAACAACACAGGACCTGCTCTTTTTTTTGACAAGAGAGTTTCTTGTAACAATATTTTAGTGAATTTTGAATTCTACTAGTAATAGGACATCCAATTTGTTTGAGAGGCATCAATATTTAAAAAAAATCAAATATTTTGAACATGTTGGTCAAGTGTTTGAATGGTGAGACATTGTCCAGATGTTTGAGGCTCATTTTTTTTTAATCTCAAAAGTATCTGTAAGTTGATTCGCCTGAATATATGCGTGTCCGTATGTCAGGGCTCCACTGTACTTGTACTGTACTATGGTCAATGAAACGTTTTGAAATCTCATCACTTCGTTGTGTTTCAGTGGATTTCCGAGACTGAAGTGTTCGTACGGTTGGTACATGAGATGGAAGAATCGGTATGCAGTGGAGCAAATGAATCATCCGTATGACGAGGTTCTGGTCATCTGGGTTTTGGAGCAGTATGACCTGAATGCGAGTCTGACTTTGGCACAATTCCTGACTGCGGGAGCAGAAGTGATAGCGAAAAGTTCATCCAAGCCCGTGTGCAAATTGTTGGCCAAGGACTGGGCCATAAATTTCGCCAAACGGAACGTGGATTTTCTTCAGGTTTGAAATTGTATACACTTTTATTTTCGGAAGTCATTGGAATGATACTGCTCTAGAATTGATGTGAAGTGATAACTTCTGAGGTTTATCTTGTTTTTGAAATTCACTCGAAATATTCTTCAAGAGCCTGTTCCAACTGGAAATAGTCGTTTTAAACGTGGAAAACGATTAGCTTTCCGAGACTACAACGAATCTCGTTATAAAGAATTTTTTATTGGCCCCAGCCGTATCTTCGTAGGGACAATGGTGTGAATACCGAATTTACTCAAGTACCCCGTGCACCTTTTTCTCAAATTTCAGAAGAAAAAAAGAGGTGTGTGTCATAAGTGGGTACAAAATTTCAAGAAGTTTTAGGAAGTTATGTGTGCATTATACTCAATCATAATGGAGAAATTTCGAACAAATGTAACAAGAAAAACTTTTTTGTGCTGAAAAAGTTGAAAATTGATCCGATTTTTGTTCAATTCATGTCTAAAGTCAAATTTTTTGAATTTATTTTCGAAATTTTGTGGTTTTAGATTCACAAAAATTGGGCTGCGCGTCTTACTTGGGTGTAAGATTTTAGCCAAATTTCCAACTGAAAAACCCCTTTGCGCACCTTACTCAAGGGTGCATGGTACTCAAGTAAATGAGGTATTATTTTTATTAAAAAATAATTTTCCTCTATTAACTCATAACAAATTTTAATAATTTTCACAATATGGGAAAAACTGAACTTGTGCGAAATTGGAAAACCTGCAAAAAATATACATGCTAATCTGTTGGGACGTAAAATTTAGAATTACTGTAAGTATTATTTAAGAATTTGTAAATTGTTACATTCTATAAACGAAAATATGTTTGTAATGATACTGCTCTGTTCTAGAGAACTTACAGTTGGTGAATAAATTTTCTTCTTACACATGTATCTTCTGTTTGTTTTAGCTTATGCTTCAGTAAGTTAAATCCATTTTTAGAAAATGTAAGAAAGAAAGGGAACCTGAAGAAAATTGAACATGTGAAACTTTATTTCATCAGAAGAAGTTTGAAATACGGATTATTCTTCAATGAATCTATTTTTTCTCATTATAATGAGATTTCACTGTAAATTGAAATGCCAATACAGTATGTTAAATTTCTGTTGAATTTACAGGTGACTGATGGCTGTGCGCTCGAATCAAAGTTACCAGAAGAGCTTTGTGACAAATTCAAAATGTTTTGCCGTGATTTCTCAACTCTTGAACAATTGTATCAGCCCGGAAGCATTGGGAACGTCGATGAGATCTTCCTTACTCTAGAGAGTGAAGGCAGAGGTGTGTGCAGTTTTGATTTCTGTGCATAAGTTTTTATTATTAATGACATGCCGTTTTTTTGTTTGGACGTTTAGCAACAGATGGGAAGTTGAAACTGTTCCAACCATCTGGACCCATGGGTTATGCCTTGAGCACTGTTCTCTTCTGTAGTCTGGCTGATGGTCGTCTCCTGCCTCCGTTGTTGACCCTGAATCAGGATTGCAAAAACGAAGCCAGCGGCGTAGGTTTCACGAACATTTTTCTGCAATTTTTATTTATTTTTTATTTGATGCATTCGTTTTATTTTCTTGTAGGTGCAAGAAATCATCATGCCTGCGAATTGCGTTGTCGTGATCAGCAAAAACGGAGAGACAAATGCGGACGTTTTGAAAATCTGGCTCAAGAAAATCTGGACTCGGTCAGTGAGGACATAATTAAATTCGTGTAACAGGTTATCATGAAACGAAATTTTAGATTTTAACACCACTGACTGCTTTGGAAGATGGTTAAAATTGCCAAAAGTTGTGACCAAGTATTATTTTTTTCCGAAAACATGAACATAATGAAATTCTGCTGTTATTTGCGTGCTAATGTTGTACATCAAACTTCGTACTTTCGAAAATTAGTTTTTCCTCTGCTGGGTACTGGAACATCAAAAGACATTCATGCATACGAAACTCGATGAAGCTTTGAAGCTTTTTTTTGTATTCTTGAAGAGTTTTACAACATTAAAACCGCAGAAATATATCAATCATCTACGAGAACAATTTTCTTGGAATTAGTTCACGAGCAATTGGATGCAGTTAGTGTCATTAATTAAAAAAATTATACCATTGAGTCTCAAAGACTCGAACCTCTGCAAGTCAAATGCCTGCTTATGTTGAATTTCTTCAAGTCTCTTTGTACATTCTCTGAAAAAGAATGCATATTAACCTCCCTTACTCGAAGGTTTTTCTCCTGAAATCTCCAGAAATCGAATTTTCTCGAGGCCTTTCGGCTATTTCTTGACTTAGGAAACAGAAAAGCAAGAAAAAAATAACTTGATGTGTTTTGGAAGGAAGTTTAAGACTAATTGGGCAAATGAACCCATGCCCAAAAGTTTAACAACCTGTCAACTCATTCAAGAAACAATCCCTGGCACGGAATACTACCAATTAAAATTTCTGGTAATTCTTCTTTCTTCCCCCCCCCCCCCGAAAAATGCTTCTTTCCCCAACTTTTTTTTTTTTTGGTCCCTTGAAATTTGACCTGAAGAGGTTCAAGTGCATTGATGAAAATTGAGAAACCCTGAAATGGACAAAATGAGGAAGAATGGGTCACACATTTCTTGAGCACATGAATTGTTTCTTGACTAGCGTTTCGAATGTTTTTTTTTTTCACTCTTTAGGTACGTTTCGGCACCGAGTTTGTTGTTGTTGGATAGTTACCCTTGCCACGACGATGAATCGTGGCGTGATGCCTGCAACGATCACGGAGTCACTCTTCATCATTTCCCACTGGGATCAGCTTGCAGGAAGCAGCCCATCGATGTGGCTGCCAAGAAATATTTTAGCGTGAGTCAGACATTGGGAAGAAATAAAAATGGGGGTTGATTTTTTGTATGGGTTTTTAATTTTATTTTTTTCTCAGGAAAAGTTTGTGGACCGATTGCTGACGTCAGTTCCCCCTGGAAGGGAGGTCGAGTCGAAGATACTGGCCATTTGTGACGCAGTGGTTGCTGCTTGGAGAGCTGTAGGGATGGACAGGAAGGTGAGTCATTCACTGGGGAACCTCTTTAATCATTCATTACTGCTGTGAAGTTGAACCTTGTTGACTGGAACCTCCCTGAGTCAAATTTGTTCCAAGTCTCTGCCTGAATCCCATTGGAAACTGTTGGGGGACAAAGGTCACTGCAACACAAGATGAAGATATGCTGTGGATCAAGAGTACAGTGAGACTCCGAGACGCGGGCACAATTGGTTAATCAAAAGTGTCCCTAAGTTGAGTCTTGTTATCCCATAGACTAACATTATATAATTTTTAATTAGTGTTTTATGGGAGACATTTTCTTCAGAATTCCCTGAAAAAAATTTTCTGTTTATCACATGAAAGTAAATTGGTGAGAGAAATGCCCTAGAACTTTTCTTACATCAATTTTAGGCTTGGAAATATCTGTTTCTTGTAATTTGGCTTGACATGTACAATGTTTGCAATTGTATCCCAAAATGTCCCTACGTCAAGTCAGTGTCCTCATGTTGGGCCTTTTTATTAATTTTTTATGGGAAAATAAGTGTCAATATGTTGCATTGTCCTCAGGTCAAGGTGTCCTCATGTGGGGGTCTCACTGTACATTTCATTGAGAAAAGCACTGAATCAACCCAGGATAAAGGTCAGGAATTCTTGGTAGAATTCCTGATTTAATTATTGAACTGTATTTTGATTTTGTCCCAAAAACACAGATGTTGAGTAGAGACAAGTTCACTGATTTTAACCACCAGAAACCGCTCAGCAAGCTTTTTTTGCACACTGTTTCCTGAGAGATAGGTAGGCTCAGATCGATAATAGGCTTGAGATGAAAAGGGGTTTTTATTAATTCTGGCATTTGGCCTAGATCCAGGACTGGAGATGGGATATCAAACAATTTGTGAGGCCTGGGATTTGTCAAGGAAATCAAAGTCAAAGATGTCTTTGTGTCAAGGGACTCAAAATGTTGGGAGGAGGAAAAGATATTGCTGAGATTTGTCTGGTTTTTTCTACTTGAATGGTTTTCTGCCCATTTAATATTTCTAGTTGATTTTGTATTTTTCTTCATTAAATGAGAATTCCCCGACAGAAACAATGCTTTACGAACCTCTGTAACTCAAAGGCTTTCCAACTCAGACCTCTGTGACTCAGAGGTTTTAGAGGACTTTGTCTATCACTTCATTGACACAGTAAAGAGAAAAGTAACTTGATGTGTTTTGAGAAGGCGAAAGGCTAATTGGGCAAATTCATCTTTGTCTCCAAGTTGAACACCCTTTCAACTCATTTAAGAAGTAATTTAAGGCCAAGAATATCATCAAATAAAATTTCCTTGAAATTTTTCTTTCTTTCCCCCCAACAAAAACGCTTGTTTACCTAAGTCAAATTTTTTTTGGTCCCTTGGAGTTTGACTTTCAGAGATTAGACTGATTATATTCATTGAAATATGTCAAATAACAGTAGGTTACAAAATAATTTTCGGGCATTAAAATCACTTGTGTTGTCTCCAGTGAACTCTGGTTTGCGTAATTCCACTTCATTTAATTCTTGTTTAAATCGGTGAATCAGTATAAATTTGGAATAAAATAAAAATTGTGAAGAGATTTTCTTATGTACCTTATTTACATGCGCCCTTGAGTTAACATGTGCACCTGGATTTTTCAGTGAATATTTTTTTTTAGAAAATGATATCCCGGAGTAAGATGCGTACCCTATTTTTCAGTCACCATGAAACCTCCATATTTTAGAAATAAGAACACCAAAATTGGAATTTAGACGTGAATTGATCCAGAATTTGACTAATTTTCCATTGCTGCTAAAATTCGTCCAAAATTTCCAATTCGAATCAATTATAATTAACGCCTAAACTTGTAGCACTTTTAAAAGAATTCATACTCAACTCATGATGCGAACCCCTTTTTCCTCTCAATTTTGAGAAAAAAGGTGCGCTGGAATGTGAGTAGATGCAGTAATCTGATGTCTCAAATAATTTCACTGTTGCCGATAGTTTGAAAGTACTGTGCAATCTTCATAAAAGTACTGTACCTTGTGAATCGTTTTCCTCAGAAAGCGGAACCCATAATTGGGGTGCGGTAACATATCAGGTAAAATATATAAAAGGGGAAAATACTGTCCATGAAATTGAATTCACATATTATTTGAGCATACTGTAGATTATAAATTGTACTGTAATTATTATCATTGAAATGAATCCGCGTCTTGTGCAGGGATTAAAAATACTTGCACCATATTTTCAGCTACAAAATTTAGGTGCGTGTCTTATCGCGTGGTACTGACGTAAATAGAGGAAATGTAAGTCATGGAAAACTAAGATGGTTTTTCATGCTTTCAGTGCAATCGGAGAGATTGAAACGATTTGGCTGCAATCTTGTGAAGCATGTCATAAGACTCTTAACCATTAATTTTGTTTGACAAGGCACCAGTGTATAGGAAAGGTCTAAAGCAGGAGACATTTGGGGAAAATCTAAAACGTTAATTTCATTAGAGCACCGGAGGTGTTAATTGTATTTAATATTTTTTTAACGAGCTTCCAATGCGGGGGAATAATCTATTACAGTTTTCTGTGCACAGCATGCCCTTATAAAATAAGATTTCACTGAAGTACTTTTCTGTGAATTTCGATCATTTCATGCTTTGAACAGTTCGACATTTCGTAGTGCGAAAAATCATCCTTGGCCTTAATTGACAAACTTGTCAAATTACGAATTTGGGCTAATTGAACTAGAGTACCAGGCGATGGAGACTATCAAAGGGAATCGTGTTGTACAAGCGAAAATGAAGGATTTCTTTTGTTTTCTCATTTTTTGAACCCTTATGGAAAAAGAAAATGGTTCGAATTACCAGAAAATATGTCTTGGTGGGGCCCAATTAAGAATTCGTATGACCAGAAACATTTTTAGGAGACCCTGGTTCAGTTGACTCATCTTCTCTTCCGAGGTTGAGATAATTTTCAAAATGAAAAATGCTCGCCGTGAATGGCTATCGAAGATCTTTTCATCAGTCAAAGAATTTTCAGATGGACGTAAAGATAGAAACGAAGTATTTCCAGTCCTTCACTGTTTTTTGTGCGCTGTTCTTCGCAGGATCTGTTGAAACTAAGCTTTGACAAGCTTCGCATTTCCGAACCGGATGCAATCTGATTATCTGAGGACCTATTGGACCCGGCGAAGGAACTACTGCGAAATTTTGTTATTGAAACGAATGTGATCCATCAATTTTCAATCCGGAGTGTGTAGAAGATTGCTTTTGTGTTACCGGTTATTACACGAACGGTCATTAATTTCGCTGATGAACATTTCAATTACACCCGGTGATTGTTTTTTTTTATATACCAATGCTCGTCATTTCGTCGTGTTGAATGTTGATAAAGCACGCGAAGGTGATCTTAGTAAAAAGTGTTTTATTTGTCCCTTAGTCCAGCTTCTCATCCAGCACAATAATTTTCGTCTTCACCAGCTCTTCAATTCCTCTCTCTCGACTGCGCAAAAAAAAAAGAAACCTAAGATTCATCCAGCTAGCCTGCAATCTACGTCCATTCGAAATGCAAGCACCAAGCTACACGCATCATGAAGCAACAGTTACGTACGTGTGCGCCCGAAAATAAAAAGCGGATAACACGGGAACACAAAAGCGAATTTCCGTTTAAGCCGGGGAAAGACGCTCTCGCAATTATCGCCTGCTTGTCTCCCTCACAATCAAACAAAAAAGCCCGGTCGTATTCCATTTGTTGGTAATCTCGAATAACTCTAAAAGCTTCCCCTCAAAATTGCAAAAGAAAATGTCACGTTAAAACTTGTTTCCGTTGACAATAACCGCGATCGACCACTACATTAATCGTATTAGCTGTACAACGCGAAAGGACGGATCACGGCTATAAGAACGAAATGAAAACGATGCGGGGGGTGGGAAAACGAGACATGAAATAACAAAGATGGTTCCACGAAACCCACAGCGAAGGGCACAAAAAAGTAGTAAACGCTCTCGGTAACTCAAGTATTTCCTCTTTTTGTTCGGCATCGGTGTTGTAAAGTGAGTCTCTGGTTTCTTTTGTTCTCGGTCGTTTTTTTCAGTGACGTGTCTGCAAACCAGGTTCTCGCAACCTTCAATCACAGCGCAATAGTAGCCCAAGAACCCTCGGAAAAAACTCGGGACAAGTATAAACTTTCGGCACGAGAGCTTCGATATGGCTGATTGCGAACTGAAAACAAGTAGAAAACATCTGAAGGCCGTCGTCAGCGACGCCCAGAACGCGAAATAAATACAAGAGCGTCCGGTGACGACACAATCACGGCAAGAGACACAGGGGCGATGATGCTCCACATACAGTCACGCTCAATATTAAGCTTTTTCCCGCGCTTTCCTTTGCAAGAAAAAAAAAAAAAGAAGCGTCGGGGAAGCAAAATAATTGATATCCTTTCGCACGCAAAATTTGGGAGAATGTCTTTCTTGCTGCGCTTACAAATCCCCGTTTTGATTTGACTTCACGCGCCCCTTTTTGCATGATGCCTCCACCGAACGCCGCGCGCCTTTACCAATTGTGGTAGTATCAAATATTGACATCCAAGCTTCCTTTCTGGTACATATGTCAGTTTTGTGTTCTTGGATTGCTATAACTGATCAATCACTTGAGACTTGCAACAAGAGCACATGATTGCTTGGATGCATCAACAGCTTCTTTGCTGTTTCCTATTCCGTTCTACCACAATAAGCAACGTGTCGCACGGGTCGGAGATGCGCCCGGCAAATGAATCGTGGGACCCGGAAAGCAATGGGGCTTCGTACACCGCGCAAGAATTCGAATTTCGTGTGTGATTTGTGTAGTTTTAGTACGGGTCGGGGATACTTTCTTTTCTCTTCGATTCCGCGAAGCGATGATTGATTTGTCAAACCTCGCCCTCCACTTCTTGCTTTCTTCTGCTAATCTAGAAAAAATCCCTACGTGTGCACATATTCTTCACTCCTCCTCTTCATCCGTGTGTTGTTCGCTCTCGTCTTCAGTATATCTCTCTCTCTCCTACGTATGCGGACGTGATTGTTGATTTCGCGGGGCTTGTGTTTGGTCATGAAGGGGCTCACATGAGCTTCTGTTTGGCGCACTCGGGACACAGGATGTCCTCGCCGTCAGTGATGAATCCCTTGCCCACCAAGGAGTTCTTGCAGGATGCACACACGAAGCAGTCATTGTGCCAGTGTCGGTCCTCGAACGAGATGTAACGCGTTCCGCCGATTCCTGTGTAGAAAACAAATAAGGAAACGAGAGAATCAGACGCAGTTCAGTGATGAGGATGAGACTACTGCATTAAAGGACGTTATTGGTAACACGACGGATGGCTTCCATATATCAGGTATGAGGAGAATTCGCGGAAGAATGATTTTCCCCAAAGGAGTGTTGATGTGTGGATAAATGCCATGAAACTAGACTGTCGTCATTCGTGAAGGATATTTATCCAAGACCTGGGAATACCAGCTCGGAACGATTAACTGCTGATGATTGAGGGACGCGTGTGCTTCGATTGAAACGACGATTCATTTAGATGTATAGAACAGTCTCGACTTTCGCACCTGCGTTACGATATCTAGGCAAGGAACGTCTATTATTATCTTTTTCTAAGCAGCTGCATTCCCGCAGTAAATCTGTACTAGTCTGTGTGTGATGCTGAGAAACTCCGATCCTTTTTTCATTTCTAGCTAACATCGTAACTTTTTTATTTTCCTGTGCTAAACATTTTTTTTTTAATTTCCTGAGGAAGTTCGGATTGAGTAAAGTATATATGTAGTAAGAGTCTCTGTATACATACTACGAAATAAATATACTAGATATACAGTATACTGTAGTATGAGTCATCCCATGCAATTTATTATACAGTACTGTACTACAGTATATATATATGGTGTATACAATATATGTATGTAATTACTGTACATTATATATACAATAGTTGAGGGTTAGAACTAAATTTTTTCTTGAGAGAACTTCATTTATAAATATATACCTATATATTGATTTAACTGCTGTATATAGTTGCTCAGAACTAAATTTTTTGCAGAGAATTTCATTGTACAGAGAGTCCACATGTATATACAGTACAATATGTTGTGTATTTATATATTGAATATTCAGTCAAACCTCTCTAAGTCAAATTTTGAGGGACCAAGCAACAAAATTTGACTTAGGGAGGTTTTGACTTTGGGAGATCTGAATTTTGGGAGGTTTTGTTTTAGTGAAACAAGCATTTTTGTTGCAAGGAAATGTGAAAAAATTGCAGGAAATTGTAAATGGGGATATTCTGGGCCTTAACTTGCTTCTTACATGAGTTAACAACATGCTGAACTTGGAGGCAGGGGTTCATTTGCTCAATCAATCTTTCATTTCCTTTCAAGACACATCAAATCACTTGCTTTATTGCTTTTGTCTTTCATATTTTGAGAAAATCATAGTAACAAAAAACACCAAAAATTGACTTTGGGAGGGATGAGAGAAAAAGACTGAGTTAGGGAAGTTTTTAGTGCATTGTTTCTAGAGGTATTCAGACAGGGACTTGAAAAAAATTGACTTGGGGAGTTATTCAACTTAAGGAGGTTTGACTTATCAAGGTTCAACTGTACTGCAAAAAATTCATTGTATACATAATTTTGTTGCAGAGAACCAGCTCAATTTTTAAAAGAGAACCCTATAGGACCAAATACAAATTTATTACACAGAGAAATTTGTCATGGACAAGATTGTTGTGGAGAGAGTCAACGTGTATATTTACTGTATGTAAAGTCTTTGAGAAGCACTGCATGTGACAGTGAGTGGATTCTACAACACTTCTTCAGAATTTATGATTTTTTTAAAAATTAAATTTTAAAAGTTTTGTATTTTTGACCACATTCATGTAGAAAAAAGCCTGTGGCATTATTGAAAGATAATTGCCTTGAGAAATGTGGAAAAATCACCAAAAAACTTATTTGCTGTACTAAATAAAAAAAAAGATAGGCAGCAATGAGCTAGATTAGAGTCTTCTTGAATTTTTCTGTTGCAAATTGGCGGGAACCTTTGGGCATAGAATAAAATCTTTCTACAACAAAGCCATTGGGACCAGTAAAATAGGTTTGTTTCAAAGAAAATTATTTATAAGCAAACTCAAATAGCATTGAAGGTATTATTGGACAGGGATCTAACAATGATTCACGGGTATTTATAATCAATTATTTATTATAAAGAGGTTCAAGATGTTCAATGTAATCCGACATTTTTTACTAGAGTTGCCTTCATTAATGAAGTCTTTGGTTAGCCAATTTTTTAAATTTGTATTTTTTTAGAAAGAGTCACATCAAGTGTAGTTTAGTGCATGTGCAAAGACAAATTTTCACTGGAAGAAGAAGAGAAAAAAATGAGAAAAATTGCAGCTATTGGCCAAGGACCTAAAAATTAATTGCTGGTTGTTATTATTGTGATCATTTATTCATTATAAAGAGATTCCACTTTATTATTTCATAATCAAATATTTGTTACAAGAGAATCTTGAATTTACAAAGTCTTCAGGAGTCTTTCCCCAATTTTCTCAAATTTTTTTTTCTTTCAGAAAGGGTCATCACATGCTGTGCAGCAGCACATTGTCAGAGACGAAGTTGCACCGGAAGTGGACGAAGAACCCTTTGGACGGACGACCGAAAAGACGTCTATTAATCTGGGCTGGACGACACAGCGTATATATGAAGCTTGGCGGGGGTGTGACCCATAAGAGAACCCTTTGAAGTACACATATGTCCAAGGGTTGGTTCATAAGTTTTGAGACTTCTTGGATTTTAAAGACTTTTAGCAATTCAAAAAATTTTTTTTTTACTCGCATAGCTCCATCATTTGGCAACCCTTCAGTGCTTTTCGAACATACTGTCCTTTCCGCCGATTTCAATGCATTTTTTTCACCAAACTGTGCCAAAAATTAAATTCCGTTGGTCAATCAAGCTGCTTTTTTGACAGCGGTAATGAGGCTGTCCCACCCGTCCCCTATCACGGGCAGTTCTTCACTGTTGAGAACAACCAAAAGTCACCAGATGGGTGCCAATAATCAACCAACAAGACTCAATTTTTTGGCTCTGTTTTGATCATTGGATTCACCGCAGGAAAAAAAAACGAGTTGAAATCAGTGAAGAGTGTGCTGAACAGCTCTTCAAGTGTTGCCAAATGATGGACCCATGCGAATAACATTTGTTGTTGTTGTTGTTGTGGTGCATTGTCGAAACTCTGTTGAATCTACAGTATTTATAAAATAAAAAAGAAAAATTATCAAAACTTATGAACCAGCCAATATGCTCACAGGAAAAGGTTCTTTCTCAGGGTTCGGCAACAAC